GAGGAGTGGGCAAAGGGAGTCAGGGCCAGACCGAGAGTGGCTTAGTGGGCAGAACCCACCGGGCCAGGTGATTGACTGGAGGGAGGATGCCGAGGTTCTTAAGGACTGAGTGGAAGGAGGTTTGACTTGCTGGGTTGGGGGACAATGATGAGGACAAGGAGGTGAATGGAGGAAAGATGCTGTGACAGAGTCTAGTTTTAGGGATCGCGAGTCTGCAGCATCTGTGGGATCATTGCCAGAGGAGGGCCGGTGGGCAGCCGGATGCAGTGGTCTGAGACTCAGGGGGTGAGAATGGAGCTGGAGACAACAGGTCTGGGAGAGATCAGCTGTGGATGTTCATGAAAGCCAAGCGAGTGGCTGAGATCACAACGTGACAGGCAGTGCGGTTGTATGATGACATATAAAATACGGTCCCTGCCCTCACAACCAGTACAAATTCAAGATTTGACATAGACCTTAAAACTGTTTATGAACCCGTCCATATCTCCATAGCAACCTCAAAGGGAAGGGATGGCTGTGCCCTCTCCCAGACAGGGGGAAACACACAGATGGCTGCTGTCGCCCGCGAGCCTCCTGATGCTGGAGTGGTTGTCACTTCCCGTGGGGCCCCTAGCCAGCCCAAACCTGTGTCTTCCCCACCTCAGCCGCAGGGCCGAGGGGAGGGGAGATGGTTGAATCAGCCCCTTCTAAACCACTCTTTCTCTAGGTCTGGCCGTCCACACCCACTGCTCCGCCAAAGCCATAGTGGGCGTGGCTGTAATGACCAAACTGCTGAGCCCAAAGACACATCGATAGCCAGCTCACCCGCCGTTCTGTAATATTCAATGCCCTTGGCCTTGCCTGCTTCTCACAACTGTCGTCGGGTGGCTTTGGTGACAACAGTCACAGTCCTGGTGCTTCGAGGGCTGGCTGTGTGTCAGAGCCCTGTGGAACAGACTACAGAGTCCCTCATCTACTTCGCTGTTGCCCTGGGCAGCGTGCACAATTACCCCCACGTTACAGGTGGGGACAGAGCTGTGAGCTCTCCAAGCTAGAGCCATGAAAGGGTAGGATTCGAACTCAGACCATCTGAAAACAAAAAACTGCATATTTAAGTACTGAAACGAGATACTTCTGCTGAATTTCTGGCAAGTGTGTGTTCTTTCTCTTTCTCTCTCTCTTTCTCTCTTTATCTTTCTAGGGCCATCCCTCCTCAGACCTTTATTGGGCTCCATTTTGCACCCCCCACCCCCACCCCGCTATGCTTTTCAGGGTGTTCTCTCCAAGGTCCATTTGGCAACATGCTCTCTCTCTGGGGCCAGTTTTATCCCTGTAGCTTTGCCCCATGCATGTGGAAATGGCTCTCGGAATGGAAACAACTTCCAGACGTCAGCCCTTCTCTCACCTCTACTTCTGACCTGGCCACCTCCTGAACACCTGTGCCCGTGTGGCCGCCAGGGGTCTCGTGCTCAGCCTGGAAAACACCCTAACCACATATTACAGTTTCCTGCACTTACTCCTTTCCCCAAGTCCTTACTGTGTGTGGCACCATCGAGGGCTCGGTTAACAGAGCCAGAAGGTCAGGAGCTCTGACTCCCCCTCCTCTTCACCCTCAGACCCATCAGTAACCGATCTTGTCCATCCAGCTTTCCCGGTGCTCTCACAAACTGGCCCTCACCTGCCCTGGTCAGGCCCTCATCTCCTCTCTAGGTGACCACAGCTCCTGGCTGGTCTCACCTAGTAAAAGCCATCCGGTTTGCCTCCTGAGGGCTAGCTCTACAAGCCAGCTGGACCGCTGCCCGACTGGACCCTCTGCTCTGGCTTTCTCCCGACCCTAAATCAAGGGTGAACTCCTCCACATGGCACACGGTGTCTTGCATGAACAGCCTCTGAGCTCCCCCTCCTCCCACTCAGCCCCGGCTTCTGAAGCCTTTGAGCTGTGCCCCCTTTGCCGGCACATGCGCCCTCTTCTCGTCTGTCCTTTCTGAGCTTAGGGGTCAGTGGTTGCAAACCTGTTACCAGTCTCCTGCCCTCCTCCTTTTGTCTCCTCTGTGCCCTGTACTGAGTCTGGGTTATCACAGCTGCAACGTGGACGAAACTCAGGTGTTTCCTTGTCTGCTCTCTCAGTCTGGAAGACATGCGCCTGGTTGGTGAGACCCAGTTCTTACATGTCAGAATTCTAACCCTAGTGCCCAGTGCTTAGTATCATTCTGTAAATGTTTGTCTTCTGAAGGAATGAAGGACTGGAGGAATCCTCCTAACTGGGTCTTATGTTCTCAGAAACAGGATGGAGAACCCCTAAGACATGGGTGATATTGAGAAGCTTGAACTGAACAGGGGCTAGCTGAGGTTTTCAGCCTTCCAAAGGGGTCTAGTATCTCCCGCTGGGAGGCCACATCTTACAGGACCCAGGCACATGCCCCCTGGGGTCTTCCTTGACTACTGCCCCTCTCATCCTGGGGCAATAAGCAGAAGAACAAACCCATTGCAGCTGCAGGCTGGCTCAGCGAGCTGTGACTACCCTAAACCAGGACATGACTTTAGATTTAGTGAAAGAGCCCAGTGTAAAGCCGGAGGACTGGGCTGGAGTCTTGCCTCTACAGGATATTCGACGTGTGAGTTCAGCCACGTGGGACTTCTCTGAGCTCTGGTAGCTTTTCCTCGGAACCCAGGAATGAAAGCACTGCTCATCTGCTCCCTGGGGGAGCTCTGAGGCTGGAACAAGGAGATGTGAAAGCTCTTTTGCTTCTATAGCACCGAGAAAGCACATTGCCCCTCTACTCAGGGTCCTGCGTGGCCCAGAGGGTGTGCCCTGAGGATGCCGCTCGCAGTCCCTGCCTCAGTCGTCATCAGAGACACCAAGCTTAGCACAGAGCAGCTGGGAACCTCTGGTAGGGGAGGAGGGCACCGCTCAGACATCTGCACGGGTGGTTTTTAAACACAAAGAATATGGAGGAAATACCACAGAATTTATGGAGTGAAAACTTTAAAAAGAAACACAAGACTTAAGTCAAAACAGTTGACTCCACTCTAGGGGAGCGTCTGCCTGGATGTAGGAGGGTAAAACAGACTTGGAGTGGGTTGGGACAAAGGGAAAAGCTCTGTGGGACATCCTACCGTGTAGGGTGGACAGGCTCCTTCAACACCGCTCAGGGTGGGGTGGAGTCTGTGCTGCCTGGATGAGGTCAGCACCTGCCAGCATTTCCGAAACGTGCATCTCTGGATCCGGCAGGTCCACTTCTAAGACTGCCACTTGGGATATCCTCGTCTGAGGGGACAGTAGTCAGTACTGAATGTCCCCTGCAGCCTCATCTGGAGTTGGGAAGATACAGAAACAACGCGAACGCCATCCGATCGAGGCCATGCTAACCAAGTCACAGCACGTCCACACACTGCAGCCTGTCTGTCTCTAAATATGAACAGGGGAAAATATTCGTGACATGGTAAGTGAAAAAGACCAGCTGCAGGATGGCATGGATACGAAGATTTTGTTTTCATAAAAACTAAAATATACCTACTTCTGGATATGCATGGAAAAAGGCACAGGAGGATGCACACCAATTTGTGAACAGCGTTGGTCTCTGGCAGTTAGGATTGTCGATTGTATTTTCTATACAATTCCGTAGAGTTGCGTTATTTATTATTATTTTCATTTTAAAAATTATTTTTATAATTAATTTATTAAACTTTCTTTCTTTCTTTCTTTTAATTTTATCAGAGAGGGACAGAGAGAGAGAGAGAAAACAAGCCTCCAGGTCTGGGATTTGAACTACAGTTGGCCATGTGGAAGTTCAGTGCTCTTAACTACCATGCCACCTGCTGGCCCCTCATATTTTAAATTTCAAGATTATTCTTTTGATGAATGAGAGAGAAAGAAACAACTTTTTTTTTTTTTTTTTTTGATAGAGTTTTGCTATGGGGCATGTGCACTTGCTGGAAAGACAGAGACAGAAAGCTAGAAATCCCCCCTCCCCCCAGGTGGATGGCCATGATGCAATCTCTTCTCCTCCATCTCTTCTTGGGATTTTAGGGACTTAATGCACATGCACCCAGCATATTTCAAGCTGCTAAGTTTGGGACTTGAACTGTGTCAGCCACATGAGAGTCCAGAGCCTTAACCACCATGCCACCTCTTGGCTCCAATAGATAATATTCTTAAATTGGGGAATTTATCCATCCTTTCTAAGCTCATTGTCATTTTCTGAGTCGAGTCTCAGTCAGGTTGGAACCATGGGCACACACCTGCCTGCTGCGCTCGGGGAGGTCTCCAGATGCGAACCGCCAACCCCTGTGTCGGGTTTACCTCTGACCACCATCCCGTCCTCTAATCGTGGTATTTGTTGTTGTTTTGTTTATTTGTTTTTGTTTTTGGCCACAGGGTATGTGCGCTTATCACAGAGACAGTGAGAGGGAACATAAGAAATCACCTCCAGGGGTGATGGCCATGTCACAGTCCCTTCTCCTCCATTCTTCTCCTAGAATTTTGGGCATTCATTCACATGTGCCCGGTGTGATTTTCAAGCCAGAGTCCAGGAGTCAAACTGCTCTGGACTGTGTGGGGGTCCAGCTCCTTAACCAGCACACTTCCTGCTGGCCCGGCCCTGTTTTTAATACACACATTATTGAAAGAAAAGTATCAGATAGGCACGGCGGCATGTACCTGTAACCCCAGGAGACAGGAGGATTGCAAGTCTGAGGCTAGTCTTGCATCCTAGCAAGACCCTGCCTCTCTAAAAAGAAGAAGGAAAAAAAAGATTCAGAAACTAGCTAAAAGTCTAATGTTTAATTATGGTAAACATCATGGCAACAGAATGCCCTTTTTCCCAGAGAAGCCCTGGCCAGAGTGTCCTTATATCGTGTTGTGAATGTTCAAATTGTAACACATCCTTAATCAGGTTACTTACTCGTGTGATGAAAACCCTTAATACCTCTCATTTCTGACCCTCCTCTCCGTCCTGCTAATGGCCACCATTCACAGAGTACTATCTTGCTCAGTGGCAGGCATGGAAAGGGTGGGATAATCTCCCCCTGGCATTTCCAGTTTTTGCACATCTCATAGGAAGGGCTCCACAATGCAGGAGGGACCTCAGTGCAACCCCTCAAGAAACCTGGACATCTCTGAGCTTGCCCACACTCTATAGCACCCCCATGAACAAGGCGGGATCTTGGGTTAGCTCACGGGCGCCGTGCTCCCAGGGTGACATCCAGGCAAAGAGCCCGAGAAGGGAAGTGGAGACCCGGTTCAGGTGGCCACGGAACTCGGCACCTGCTCTCTCGTGTTCTTGGTTCCCAGGCTTGGTCAGCGCTGTTCAAATCGAGTTCCTCAGAGCACCCCATCTGGCATGTGTTCAGTAAGTGCTCCTGAAGGAGCCTGTGGTCAAATGCGCCTGAGTGATGCCGATTTCCACGGCCCTCTCTTGGAGACTCCCAGTCACGCTGGCAGGTGACAGTCCCTGAGCAGTCTCGCAGTAAGTAAGCTTACTCAGCAGAGCGGATGCCGGCCTTGCTCACGTCTGTTTCACCTTGGAACCCTCTAACGTCTGATCCACTGAGTTTAGTCAGATCCGAGGTCATGATGAAAGGCCACTCCCTCCGTGGCACCTTGCTCCACCCTGCACAGGGGCTTTTCGGGCTGAAAGCAGAGTGTTTCAGGGGACCCCTGCTGAAACGAAGCCGCGTGTGCACATCTGTGTAACCATTCCAGTGGAGATGCTGATCAGACGAGATAAGGAGCGATAGATGATGATGAGGGACAGCTGTCTAACAGGGCTGAACTGCAGCCTGGGACACTCGGGTCTGGATGGGGCGCTGCAGTTGGGGGGACACTAAGAACAAATACAAAACGGGGGCAGGGCGGGGCACACAGTTAGAGACGAGGGCGGTGCTTGGAAGGGCCTTGGTATTTCTGTGGTTCCCTGTTTATTGGTGGTGGACACGTGCCTCTTCTGGATTTACGTACCAAATTTATGCTTGTCACTTCCACTTTTGAACATAATCTTTCAATAAGGGTAATGGGCTTTGGAGTCACACAGCCCATTCCTCCGTTTCTTTTCCTGTAAAATGGGGTTAGTGACGAGCTTTACCTCTTAGACTTGTTTACGAGGCTGAAATGAAGACCCTCAGAATAGTAACTAGCACATAGTGAGTGCTCCACAAACAGTATTATCATGATTAATTGTTGCTATTTATATTTGCAGCTAAGATTCCTTTCTGACTTGACAGATCCATTTGGAGGTCTCCCAGGTTTCTCAAGCTTAATAGGACCAAAACGGAATTCTTGCTTTTCCCCACAATGTCTTATCTCCTCCAGCCTTCTCTCCTCGGTGAATGGCACCTAGACTTCTATAGCTCAAGTCAGGGATATGAGAGTCCATCGTGGTCCCTCCCTCCCCTCCCTTCCCCTTTCACATCTGTTCCCCCAGGAAATTCTGCAGCATCTGACCCAAACATGCGAGGGGTTTTCAAAAAGTTTGTAGGAAATATGTGTTATCAAAAAATTATGTGGGAGGCAGCAGGTGGTGTGGTGGTTTAGGCTCTGGACTCCCACATGGCCGAGTGCAGTTGTAATCCTGGGCCTGGCAGCTTGCTTTCTTACTTTTTCTCTCTTTCTCTTCTGTCTGTCTCTCTGGTGAGCACACATGCCCTATAGCAAACTTTTTTAAAAAATTAAAAATTATGCATAGATTTTAATATTTTTTTGCACCCAAATAAACTCATACTCTAATTTCATTTTCCATGGAACTTTCTGAAGTCTGTTCATATATTCCAGAATGATTAAACTCATCTCCTCCTTCCTAGCTATCTTCCCTGTTGTGGTGTGAGCATCCTGATCACTAGATAAAGGTGGTGGCCTTCCCTACGGCCTCTCTGCTTTGTTTCAGTGAACGCTTCACAGGCTGCCAGGGTGATCTTGATGTACTGGACATCGCCTGCAGTGGCTCGGGCTGTGTGGCTGCTGCAGATACCCGCTCCTTCGCCGGGCTCCTCCCCGCTGGCCCTGCCACCTGTGCTGTTCTTTCCCGCCTCAGAGTCTTCATCTGTGTTGCCCTTTTTGCCTGGAGAGCTCTACCTGAGGCTCCTCACAGGGTGAGCTCCTCCATACCAACAAGTCCCAGGTGGACACAGGCCCCAGGGCCACACCTTCCTGGAGGTCAACTGGCTCTTCCTCATCACAACCTTTTCCGCACCACTGCACGGCCCTTTTCTCAGCTTGCAATCTTCTTCTCCTTCTCCTCCTTCTCCTACTCTTCCTTCCTCTTCTTCTTCCTCTTCTTCTTCCACTTCTTCTTCCTCCTCCTCCTCCTCTTTTTCTTCAGAGATGTTTTTGTTATAGGGTGTGTGTGCTCGTTAGAGAGACAGTTGCAGATAAAGAGAAAGTGAGAAATCACCCTCCCAGGGAGATAGTCGCACTGCAGTCCCCTCTGCTTCACTCTCCTCTCGAGATCTTGGGTACACATGCACTCATGCCTGGCGTGTTTCAAGCCTCCAGGTCCAGGACTTGAACCACGGTCGGCCATGTGGTAGTTCAGTGCCTTAACCACTATGCCACTTGGTGACCACACAATCACTTCTTTATTTGTCTCCCCGTTTACAGTCTGTCTCTCCAGTGGAAATTCTCTGAGGTCCAATGCTAACACTGTCTAAACCCAGTGCAGGGCCTGCCCCCTACCCGGTGGGACTAATGGCTGAGTGTCACAGTGAGGGAACCTCTCTGCCCTCTTCAGTTACTGCTTTGTGATTCACTGATGGTTAAGCAAAACAGCAGAACACAGTTCTGTCTACTTAGCCAGATAAGCTCAGAGCCAGAACAAAGGGCCCACACCCAGGTTTACAACATGCTTTAGACATCTCGGGGAAGTCTGCCTTATCTGCCTGCACTGACCTGAGGCAGAGCTCTCGGCTGCTCCTCCAGCCTGCCACCAAGGGGCCATCCAACCCAGGAGGGGCCACTAGACTCAGGAACGGATAAACATTATGGGGTAGCTGTCTTCCAGGGTGCCAGGGTTTTCCATCAGGCTAATGTCTGGCCTCAATTTTTTTCTAGAATATTCAGTCTCTGACCCATATAGTCACTTAACTCTGAATATAAAAATATGCAGATATATTGGGTTGTTGGAAAAGTCACAATGTATTTTTGCATAGAAAAACATGAAAAAATACGTGATGACTTTTCTGGTTTTTTTTTTTTTTGAGAGGTTTTTTTTTGCTATAGTGCGCGTGTGCTCGCCAGACAGACAGAGAGAGACATAGAGACAGAAAGCGAGAAATCACCCCCCAGGGGGGATGGTCACACCGCAATCCCTTCTCCTCCATTCTCCTCTCGGGATCTTGGGCACACATGCACACGAGCCCGGCATGAGTTTTTAAGCCATCGGGTCTGGGACGCGAACCGCGGTCGACTATGTGGGAGTCCAGCGACACAGCCATTATGCTAACTGCTGGTTCCCCGTGATGACTTTTCTGACAACTCAGTGTATTTTGGAGGAGAGCCCTTCTTTGATGGCTGCTGGTCCGAGAAGCCTACCGTGGCAGCCATTCTGTCTCTCAGCAGACATGGGGCCGTCAAACATGGGGCCGGGTTCTGGGGAAGTTAATATAAATGTTTATTGATGATGCAGTCATCAAGAAAATAAAGTTGCTGATTCATTGCCTCACAATGAAACCCTTTGTATTCCCTCCTCTTCCTTCCTCTTTATAAGGAGAAACCCTGAGAAAGAACACATTTCGGGAACCCACTGGGTGTGATGTGTTCTCGGCTGACTGCTCCTTCCTCCATCTGCAGATCGTGGGTGCTGTGACTCTAGGGAGTCCATTTTTCTCCTGCACCTAGAGGACCACTGCTCCGGGGGCGCGGAGGAGCAATGGAAGCCTTGGGGTTTCTAAGATTAGAAGTGAATGGACTCACGGTGACGGTGGCCCTGTCCGTGGTTCTCGTGGCCCTGCTGAAATGGTAAGTGCCCCAACCCTAGGGTCAGTGACCTCGCCGGATATGTCAGCCCTGGAGCCTTGCTGGTGCCAGGATGGGGTACGTGGGAGTGTGTTTTTCTTCTTTTCTAATCTAGAGGGAGTTGAGTATTAACACAGCTTCAGAATTAAAAGCAAACAGCCAGGTTAATCTTTTGCTAAAATGCATGAGATTGAAGTGTCAGGAAAGGCTGGTGATTCAGTGGCTGAGAACGCTATGCATAATTAAGTTGGAAAGAGATGGAAAAAGAAACAAATTGCAAAGGCATTAGGCTTGGGTGGAAGTGTTTCCTCATACCCCGTTGTATCTTCTCACCTTGTTTTCCTAAGATCCTCTCTCCGTGTTGGATTTACTGTGGATTCAGCCTCTTGGTTCATGTTACATGAAAAACACAGAAGACCTTGGAGCTGTTTGGCTAACGCGGACCACTTTGGGGAAGCACTGTTGGGGATTTCTGTGTGTTTAAGGACAAAGTGGTAGAACCAATTTCCAAATTTTCTAGAATCTGATAGAAGGGAATGAATTCTGACCAACGTAACACCCACAACATCTGAAACCCTGAAAGAATCTCGGACTTGAACCACAAGGCACGCCCCCATGGTTTGGTTAATTCAGCAGTTGGTTTTCCTAAACCCGGCTCTGTGGGGTCCACAGCGGTGCAACACCCAGGACACGCTCCGTTCATGAGCGTTCACCTTGTCGGTTACACTTATTAGAGTTGCCTACTCAATCGAAAGCACCTGGATTTAGGTGACTCTGGTTTTCAAGGGGAAAGTGAAAAAAATAACGGAGTTGGAACAGAATTTCAATTTATGTTTCTGGTGGTAATAGAGCCTCCTCTGGATTAATAAGTGGGAAAGCACTTTGAAAAGCATCAAGCATTATGCAAATGTGAGGTATTATTCTTTCGGAATTTGCATAGCTGAAAGTGGAATGCACGTTTGATGTTCTATGATGATGAAATTACTTCTTGGAAATTGGCTCTGAAACCCAGCTTCAGTCCCAGTGCTGTTTTTCTTTTTAACTGGTTTAATTATCTTTTGAACTTCTCTATCTGAGTGTCACTTATCTTGCATTAAAACTAGACACATGCAAAACCAAGAGCAAATGGTAGCCCCTGGCCCCCCAGCCCTAGTAATCCCTCCTGGCGTGTTTCTCTGCTCAGGGAAGCCCCAGCCCCGCGACAGGCAGTAAGGGCTCAGTAGATTCCGCTGCTGAGATCCACTATCATCCACGTAACCCCAAAGTGAGGGAGATGGCTGTAGTGGGTTAGCTTTATTTCTCATTTCCCGTCATGTGTTTATTAATATTAATTTCTCATCCACTGTTCAGCTTGGCCTGTGGTTCCCACAGCGTACACCTCCTGCTCTCTCGCTCCTGTCCGTACTGTGTCCTTGGAGCGCCTGGACTCCGCAGTGTCCGACAGAGAGCGTGTGTGACGAGCGAGTGGCAGGCACGCCTTGCAGCCAGGCAGCTGCACACCGGCAATCTAATCTCGGGGCCGTATTAATAAAATGGCTCGAAGTGCAGAGATTAAGATAGAGGCATGAAGCAGAGGTGGTCAATAGGAAGCGAGACCCGAGTTCCATTTGTTATCACGGAAATATTTATTGACCTGTTAATGTGTGCCAGGCCAGGCGGGAGGCCCTGCTGCAAAGTCGGGGGGCGGGGACCTGGACCAGATGTCACAGGCTGGGGGAGACGTGGAGGTTCTAGGCTTGGGCTCAGTACTCAGAGAGGCTAATGCTGAAGCAGAGGGGCAGAGGAGAGAGCCACTGTGGCCATGGGTCTGAGGCTCTTGGGCTCAACCCCTGACCTAGCACAAGGCCACCATCCCTGGGCTCTGGACCCGCCTCTTCCGGGCAAGACTCTCGGCAGCCGTGAAACAACAGACACCAGCTCCGAGGCAGGGCCTCCCCGCTTTATTCTCTTGGAAGGGCACGTGTGGGAGAGAGAAAGGTGCTATTACTCCAGGGAGGGATTCCCAGAAAGAAACGCGGGAGGCGCAGAGGTGCCCGTGGCCATCCTGCTCCTGAGGAGATGTCACAGAGGGCGAGGGTGGAGTTTCCAAATCACTTCACCAGATTGGCTCTTCCTTCAAGAGTTGTCCCTGCCATCGGGCCAGGTCAGATAGCAATGGGAAGCCTAGACAGAGAGGTGAAACCATGAGGACACCCAGGTGGCTTCTTGCCCCTCCACCAGTCTGAGTTCGTGGAGGGCACAGGCCAAGTCTTGGATCTCATTACCATTCTGGAAACTTCTGTCCATGGCAGACGCTCTGCTAGTGTTTGGTGGATGGGTCCACACTCCCCAGCTCAGCTCGGCCCCTAGACCTGGGGTGCACTGCCCGGCCTTTGCCCTCGCGGGTCTCCTGTTTGAATGTCCTTCCTCAGTCCTTCCATGCCAGGCTCAGGGGCGTTTCTGCAGGGAAGTGTTTCCGTTTCCCAAAGGCACTTATGAGTCCCCTCTCAGCGCTGCTCTCATCAGACCACTGGACTCCTCCCCTCTCTCACAGTGCCTGGCTCACTGTGGATGCCTAGTAATTGCTGGATGGCACTCATTTAACCTCTGACCTTCGCGGCTGCTTTCTCCCTCTGGCTCTTCTCTTCGCCCTCACAGCTCCCTAAAACCCTCTTGCCCAGATCACTCTCCCCCTGAAAGCTGACCGCGTGTTCAGTTGGGGCCAACTTGCCGTCCACTTTTCTAACTGTTGTGGATATACCATACCCCCCCTCACCTCAGAAACAGAGACCAGGGCATGTACTGAATAAGCACTTTTTAGTTATTAAGTCTGTGTGAATTTGGAGAACAGGAGACGAGAAAGTCCCTTTCTTTTCACGGGCTGTGATGCGCCGCGTGTGGTGTGTTTCGTTAGTTTCCCCACACTGCACCTGAGAGCAGGATCCAATGATGGTCATTCAAACTGACTGATGTGTGGTCGAGCCAGGGAACCGGGGTATCCTGTGATCGGGGTGATGTGCTGCAGCAGAGACGGAGCTGGGGTGTAGACGCATTCACTAGACGTTACAGGAAGCACGTGCTAAGTAAGCGATTTTCACACCAGCTAAAACTCTCTAAAAACTTATTTTTCCGTATAAGAGAGTCAGAAATTCTTACTTCTGACCAGCTAAAACTCTCTAAAAACTTATTTTTCTGTATAAGAGAGTCAGAAATTCTTACTTCAAAAGGCAAGAAGCGAGTTGTGTGAGTTGCATTTTGCCCGAGGCAGCCATAAGTATTAGCCTGTTTTAACTTTCAGGCAACATCCGAGAAACAGCTGCCGGGTCCCTGTTGTGGTGATGGGGGTAGGGGAGGGAGATAAGGATTTCTTTATGCTTTAAGAAGGCGAGTAAGGAAATAGCCCAAATGTTAATAGTGGCTTTCTTTCAGTGCCGAGGTTATGGGTAGTTTTTTTCATCTTTCACATTTCTTTAATGAGTGGGAATTACTTAGCAGAAAAATAGAAATTTTACT